TTTCTACAACTCCAATCCCTCCTCCTATTATTTCACAATCAACTTCCACCACTATCCCCGAACCGACAGTAAGAGTCAACATATCTGATACGGGGGCTACTACTGAAACCGAACCTCCAGTTACTTCTAAAAACCTCTTTCACCCTCACCTTCAACCGATTCCGGTTTGCCATGCCACTTCGGTGGTGATAATGATGAATTTGACTCTACCTACTACAGTCCCTATCGGCTTCCTACAAATGATGATGATGAAGCTACAGTCACACGCCAACAATTGCGGAGCATTGATGAGAAACTTGATAAATTGCTTGATGCCAAACAAGTCATACAATGATGTTGTGCTCAAATTTTATGGATACTGCTCTTGAGCAATATACTGAGGCTATTGACAAATCCACGAAGGCTGTTAACGCTTCTACTTCTTCTTGCAAGAAAGCTACTGCTGATGTTACAGAAATTGTTCACAGCACTTAGATCTTTCTCGAATCACTCAAAGGGCATGCTGATTCCAATGCAGCCAAAGTGACCACCTCTGTGGATTCCTTATCCAAGTCCCTTCAAGAAGAGCAAACTAAGTTTGAGGCTGTTCGTTCTTCAATGCAAGCAGAGAACACTTCACTTATCAGTTCTGTGAATTCTCGGCTTGAATCTCTCCAAGCTGATTTAGCAAAGGAGAGTGCTCTAAAGGAAGATCTTGCCCGCCAAGCTTCAACAATTGAAGTTCAGAAGGTGCAGTTGGCTCATGCTGAAAAGGAGATCTCATTATTGAAAACTGAGCGTGCAGTATTCAGAAGTTGTGCTGGAGATGTCAAAGATATGCTTACCAACCTTCTTGGTGCTCATGATCCTATCCTTACTCTCACTATAAGGAATCATCTGACTTCAAAACTTCTTCCTGCCCTTGCAATGTTACATGAGATGAAGGGTGTTTCGGAGAGATTCGTACCTCCAAAACAAGGGGGAGAAGGTGCTCAACCGAAGGTTACTGTGAAAACCCGAAAACCGAATCTGCTCAACCGAAAGTCAAAGTTACAACCGAACCGAAGGGTAATGAAGCTTCGGGTTCTGGTTCTCAAGCTAAGAAGAAGGGGATTGATGATGACAGTGACGAAGAAGAAGAAGAGACTATTGCTGAGGCCCTTAAAAGAAAGAAGAGGGACAGAGAATTGGATGAAACCTTAAGGGTTGTGAAGGAGGCTGAGGAAAGGGAGAGAAGGAACAAGGAAGAACAAGATGCCTTAGACTGCAAAAAGGCCTTGTTTCCTCTCTGGACAAGGGAAATACTCATCAAGGAGGCAATAGAGTTTCCAAGCGTCTACTGGTTGGAAACCTGTCGCTTTTTTGATTGTGATAATTCAAAGGATTCACAGTTCGATATGCCGATAACACGGAAGGCATTCACATTTCATTGTTTTGATTCGACTGTTGAAGTTCTTTCCCTCATCCTAAAGTTGATCGCGAACTTATCGACTTTTATCTGAAGTTCGGTCAACCTCAGTACTTGACGTGGAGTGCACAGAAGATTGTTACTGTCAAGGTACTAAAACCTTCGTCTGCCGGGAAATTCATAAATGTTAATTTCAAAATCACCCGAGGATCAGCAAACTCGGTGTCGATTATTTCCCTGGCAGATCTTCCAAATTTAAATCCTCATGACTGGATCCTGCTGTTTAACATTCTGCTCACCAATCCAAAAGAAATATGAGCCGATTCTGGATCATTTGAAGAGGATGTTGGCTTCTTACATCCATGAGGTTGCTGCTATGGATCAGGAGATAGCAAAAGTGATGAATAAGAAACCGACTGTCAAGCCAACAGCGAAACCAGGAGATGTGAATAAAATGAGGATGGGCCAAATTGACCCTACACATCTAACTGTAATGTTCACAAGAGGCGAAGCCAATCGTTTTCTGTTCGCTCTTGTTGATAAACATTTATTCTCAACTGACTGCTTAGAGCACATTATCAGTATTATCCATCGGTGCAAGCAGAATTCAGAAGCAGACAAGAAGAACTTCACGGACATGCTTCGGTGGTACATTACTTTTCGTCATCATCTATTGGCCATCATACCGAAGGTGTTCAAGACAGTTAAGAAGTCTTCAGTTGCTCAACCGAACTGAGCTTTCGGCTCCATTGACGCAAAGGGGGAGATTGTTGGGTATTATTGTGTTGCGTCATGGGCTTGTTTTGTATATCCGGATTGGGCCTGTCCATCCGTGTTTATCTAGTAGGGTTTAACTATAAATAGTGCATGCATGTATGCATTAGATACGCTATTGATTATCATTGATTATTGTTTTGTAACCCTGAGCACCTCTACAGTCGAAGTTCTTAATCAAGCTCTTCTGAGGTGTTAAAGTTTTAATCATACGACATCTTTAAAGCTATTCTTGTGTTCATAATTACGTCCTTAATTGTTTGCCTGCATAGAATCTATCAATCCTACTAGAACTTTGTTCTAACACTTACGGTTTTCAGTTTTGGTTTCAGGTACTTCTGGTAGCAAATGGAAGAGCTCGGGATGACTGCATTGCACACACCATGATGTTTAGCCTGGGATGTTTACTCTGATATTTTTGATATGGATACTCTGATTGTGATGTTTGGATATTTTGACTTATGTTTTGACGGGATGTTTTGATAACTATGGTTTTATTTAATAATAAAAAAAATGAATTTTTTAGGACAATGTTTTATGAATGTTAGAGAGAGAGAGAGGTGGTCTCATAATTTTTATTAATAAAACTTTATATTAAATAGAAAAAAACATAGAAAATGTATCAGAAGGGTATTTTTGTCTTTTCAATTTACAAGGGACCAAAACAACAAACAAAGTAGCTCAAAATGACCACCAATCCAAAAAAATCGATGTTTGGATCAAATCTCAGTAAAAATGCATACAATAGAGACCATTTTTGCAGTTTTGTCTTTTTTTTATTCAATTTAAGAGAACTCTAAAGAGATATGAAAAGACCACCAAAGTTTGTTATGAAAAATGTTTCATTTCCGTGTGTTTTTTATTCAATTTAACCGTTTTTATGTAAAAACGGATCGTTTCGTTCCGGTGCGAAATAAACATAAAACTATTAGTTGAACCGCTAATGTCTCAATGGATGTCATCGGCGACTTCATAGTATCATTCAGACAAGAACACAAAACTGAATACTCAAAACACACAGAGCACTGCAAATGGATCCTCTAACGGCTCTCCGGGAGATGACGATGAGAAACGAGCTCGACAAAATCGTCCGATTCGACAACGAGTACCGATTCGGCTCTTCCTACTCGTTCCCCTGCACAATCGAAACGGCCTACAGATCAAAACAAGGTAATCTCTACACTCTCGAAACCCTAGTTTACTTCATTAAGAATGTCAACATCAAGCACCACGATTACATCCGTTACGCCGGCACACAGAAGATCCCTGCGGTCACTCTCCTGGATCGCAAACCCTTAATTGAGTACCTGCAAGGTAGAATTTCATCGACTGACGCTATCGAGTTCCTCCCGCCTCCACCTCAACATCAAAACTTTGAGAATCATGATTACCGTATTGGCGATTACCCTAATTTAAACGTGGTACCTGGTGACGAATTGGATGTTGATAATCAGGAACCTAGGGTTGCGGTTATCGAAAACCCTATGGACATGCTCAGAGCAATCGAAAGACCATTGAAGGATCGTGAGACGATATTGGAGTGTAGACATAGGGATTTCTACAGCGTGCTTACAGCTGCAACAAAGAGAGACGAGGAAAGACAGAGATTAGAATCGCAACAGAGGAAAGATGGTTTGGTAGCTAAGAACAGGATCGATAGAGGGTTTGGAGAGGATTTAGGGTTAGGGTTAGATGGGACTCCGAGGCCAAAAATGAAGGGGAGCAAGATTGGTGATGGGGTCCCGATTATATTGGTTCCAAGTGCTTCACAGACACTGATTACTATCTATAATGTGAAAGAGTTTTTAGAAGATGGAGTGTTTATACCTACTGATGTGAAGATGAAGCAGATGAAAGGGCCAAAACCAGAATGTGTAACAGTGTTGAAGAAGTTTAGTAGTAGGGATAGAGTGGTGACAGCTTATGAGGTGAGGGATAAACCTTCTGCATTGAAGGCTGAAGAATGGGGTCGAGTAGTGGCTGTTTTCGTGTTAGGGAAAGAGTGGCAGTTTAAAGATTGGCCTTTCAAAGATCATGTTGAGATCTTCATCAAAAGTAAGTAGACTAACTTATCATTTCATTCTGATGTGAATTTGTGATCTATATGATTGATTGAATAAACATGATTTGGTGTAGTTCTTGGATTTTACATGCGTTTTGAGGATGATAGTGTTGAGTCTGCAAAGATTGTAAAGCAATGGAATGTGAAAATCATATCGGTGAGATTAGGTTTAAATAAAATTTGAGTTGTTGATTTACTTATTTATGTGTAATTAAAGTAGATGATGATGTTTTATAGATAAGCAAGAACAAGAGGCATCAGGATAGAGCTGCTGCACTTGATGTTTGGGACAGATTAGAAGAATTTGTGCGCTCAAGATCACGTTCTTGAGGTATGCAATGCTATCTGTTGCTAAAATGTACTAGTCAAGAACTGAACATCTTGTTTACTATCAAAATGTAGGATCTTTCTTTACTTTACTTGATCAAAGCTCAAGGTTCCCTTTTTATGAATCACTTGATGGGTATGATGATTGATGAATGATTAAAGATATTACCCATTAGCTATTTGAATTTAGAAAGATGGTGTCTCTATTTCTTGTCTCATGCCTGTAGACTTTAAAAACCAAAAAAAGTTATCTTCTTCTGCAGATGTGGTTTGTAGACTGCATTTGTTTTTCCTCTTAAAAAACATACAACTATTTCGGCGCACTATCAAAAGATATAGAAAAAACTTTGTTTTATAATTTATATGTTTTTATTACCTAAAATCTAAATCTCTATATACTTGATTGTGGGTGTGCGGATATCTAAACAATTCAAATGTAATTCTACACTTCATTATTGGGAAAACCCTAAAAAGACCCAACCTATTATCTTCTCATGCTCGAAAAAACCATTATGTTATTTTTTTGTACGATAAAACCATTGTATTTGTTGATTATGCTTAAAATAAAACCTTGTAACCGGAAAAGCCTTGATAGCCGGTTACCTAAAATTTGTGACATCAGAAAAACCCAACCTATTATTCTCTAATGCTCGAAAAAACCATTATGTTATTTTTGTACAAAAAAACCATCTTATTTTCTAATTTTGTACAATAAAACCCTTTTATGTTTTGATTTTTACAACAAAACATTTTATTTACCCTTTTATGTCCCATATTTTTTTCCTTCTGAGAAATGATATTTTGATCAATATCGCATTTATCGTTACGGTTGCACACTGTCCAATAAGAGAAGTTTTTAAGAAGGAAAAATATAGTTAGCTTCCTTGATTTCTAATTTTGTTATGTTTTATACTCATCATGTATCTCTTTTCCACCAGTGGTGTAAAGTTCTTATAAACAACTGATCATTATATTGTAGTGTTGTGTTATTTATAACTTCTACTTTATATATAAAATCAATGAGAAATTTAGAAGTTATCATGGTATCAAGTGTTTCCTAGGCAATCCCTCTTATAAAATATATCACTTCACTCATTGGCAATTTTCTCTCACGTGTTGACATGTCTTCATGTAATCTTTGTAGTACACCCTCATGCTCTAAACCCAAGCTCTCCATAGTTGGAAACCATGTTTTTGATCCTACTCTCTATCAAAGTCTTGTTGGAGCTCTCCAATATCCGACATTCACTCCTCGGATATTGCTTATGCGGTTCAACAAATATGTCTCTTTATGCATGATCCTCGTGAACATAATTTTCTTGCTCTAAAATGTATACTTCTGTACCTTTAGGGGACTTTGTCTCTTGGTCTTCATCTTTGTCCTCAGACATGCCGCTCTACTTTTGTAGTTTGTATCTTTGTTGGTGACAATCATGTTTCTTGGTCCTCCAAAAGGCAACACATCATGTAGAGGTCTAGTGCCGAAACTGAGTACAGGGGGTAGCCAATGTTGTAGTTAAAGTTGTCTGACTTCACAATATTCTCGAGTTGTTATGTTTATTATCTCGTACTACTGTTGATTTTTATGACAATGTAAGTTTTATGTACCTAACTTCAAACCCACTACATCACCAAATTACCAAACATGTGAAATCGATTTATATTTTGTTAGGGAACATGTTGCTATTGGTCATGTACACGTACTTCATGTTTCTTCTGCTCACCCGTTTGCTGATATTTTTACTAAAGGATTACCTACATAATTATTTTTGGACTTTCAGGACAATTTAAGCATTTATGAACCTCCCGCTCAAATTGAGGGGAAGTGTTAAACTATTATTTATTGGATAGTTTAGGTCTTTTTATCATGATATAGTGTAGAGTCCTTTATGTAATTGTACAATATTGGTTGTAACATTTATAGTAAATGAATACATCAGAAGCCCTAACAGAGTTATTTTCACAAACCAAACACACAATTTTTTTACTATGACAACTTCAGTGTTATATACTTGAAATCAATTCTTGTGTAGTGTTGTATACTTGAAATTAATTCTTGTGCAACATCGACGCATGAAGTACATATATATTGACATTCGCTTTGTTCAAGATCAAGTATCTTTGGGGTTAGTTTGTATTTTTCATAACCCGTAATTTATTTTTAAGTGGAATTAATCAATTAAAAGTTTACCAATTATATTTTATTAAGAGAAAAATACATGACATAAAAGGGAAGATAATTAATCATTGTACAAAATCATAATATAAAAGGGTTTTATTGTACAACATCAGAAAATAAAATGGTTTTTTTGTACAAAAAATAACATAATGGTTTTTCCGAACATTAGAGGATAATAGGTTGAGTTTTTATGATGTCACAAATGTTATGTAACCGGCTATCGAGTGTTTTCCGGTTACAAAACATTATTTTAGGCATGATCAACAAATAAAATGGTTTTATCGTACATAAAAATAATATAATGGTTTTTTCGAGCATTACAGAATAATATATTGGGTTTTTCTAACATACAACTATTTCGGCGCACTATCAAAAGATATAGAAAAAACTTTGTTTTATAATTTATATGTTTTTATTACCTAAAATCTAAATCTCTATATACTTGATTGTGGGTGTGCGGATATCTAAACAATTCAAATGTAATTCTACACTTCATTATTTGCCTAGTATGAGATTTAATGAGGTGGCAAAAATTGATACGAACGACATGCTAACTCTACACAAAATTGCCACATAATAAACAAATTTGGGTAGTAGATTTCAATTCGTTTAATTAAACGGGTTAAGACAATACAACATGAAAATTAAATGAATTAGTTTAGGAAAAATTTCAATTTTGAAGTGAACTTGTTTATTTTTATTTTTTTGAACAACAAAAATTCTATAAAAAGACACTTCTAACAAAGAGTCAGAAGAAAATTATAGGGGTGATTTTAACCAATCGGTCCAAATTACATTTTTAGAAACTCTATGCTTAAACCAAGAAAGTGAGATTAGAACAATATTATCAAAAAATGTGTTTTCCATACTCGACAAGAATCGAATACAATGTTATGCATAAACCTCTAAAGAGCATCCACCACATAGTAAGCATTACCACCTCAAGTTGTTTCATGTTCCCACTCATTATACGAACATCATCTAGCCAAGAGAGCCATTTTCGGATGTTAAACACGGTGGGAAATTGAATATTGCATCATTGTTGCACACTTCCCCAAATTGCAGAAGCCACCCCACATGTAAATAAAATATGGTCTTCAGATTCACTACATGAACCCATGACACAATAAATGCTAAGGATTTACCCAATGAAATAAGTGATAACACAAATGTACGAATTCGATGAACCATATGGAGTTATCCAAATATCGCAAGTTAAAATTATTCTAGATTTTAAATTTTCAAAACCTCGACTCGTTTCATTTTTAACAATTTTCCATTTATTAATTCAATTGTGTTTAAACGTAGAATGACTTATGACTTACATGGCAATAACGTGATTGAGGAGCATATTAGATGAGTTCCATCAATTGTGTGTTGTCGGAATGCAAATTTTCTTTAATAACAAACTTTATATACCCATCCCTAAACCAAACTTTGATCGTAAACACAATGATGCCTAGATTCGACATAGTTGTTTGATCATGATACAAACCAAATTTCACTGCTTTGTAATACAAATCTGGGTTTTCAAAGTCATATTTCAATATTCCTTGAAGAAGAGACCACATTTATCACATCAAGATTTATTTAGACATCTCAAAATTTGCTAGAAGTTGTCATGTTGCTAAATCTATGCATTTTTTTTGTAGGGACGAAACTCCAACAACACAAAAGATTGTGATTGACCATATTGAGATGCCATTACTTGCAATGATAAGTAAATAAAGCTAGTGAGTAGTGAGCAAGATTGCATTTAAAAATATTAAAGAACGTTTTTTAGTGACACGATAAAACAAACCCTAATCATACTTATTTATGTCAGCAAATAAGGGGCAAAAGGGTCATTTAGGCATAGAAAAAACGGAATGCATCTTTTACAATTTCCATAGAAAAAGCTCCAAGCTTTTTTTAAACGGCAGGAATTATAAGTTTTTTAATTATAGAAAGATATTTTTATTTGTGTAACTATTATTAAGGTGTGTTTTATTCGCTAGAATATAATGAAATTGAAGGAAATTTGAATCTAATTTCACCATATTTTAAGAGTAGTCCAACTTTTTAAGATAAAATTAAATTCTTAAATGAAATATTTTTTCACCAAAATGAATTCATTCAAAAATTGGATTGTTTTACATTCTTTCTCCTACAGAAAAATGAAAGATTACGCCCTTCTGCTTTTCACAAAACCTATCTAAAAACCAAACCTTCTTATATCGTTCTCTAATTTTTGCTGCCGACGACGTTCGTAATCTCCATATCGATCTCACGACTGCTGCGTCTTCTCCATCTCTTGCGCCTAAGTGAGTCTCTCTCTCAATCGCTGGTATGTAGAATCGATTGCGTATTTACCATTGAGCTGTCGGATTTCCTGTGAGAATCGATTGATTCCTGAAAATCGATGATTCATTACAATCGATTGCTTGCTAAGTAAACGGAATCTACTGTAATTGACATTGGTTTTTGAAAATCGAATTTCTGCTGAAAATCGACGCTTGCTAAGTTGCTATGTAGAACAAAAATTGATTGCTTGCTATGTACGGATGTACCACGTTACAATTGCTTGCTGAAATTCGTTTTTCATACTTGCTATGCTCTATTGAAATTACATTACTTGCTGAAAAAACAGACTTGCTTCCTATGCACCACTTTATAATTGTTTACGCTCTCAATCTCAATTTGATATGAATTTGTATGAACAGGAAAATGTCCCAGACTTAGTTTAACAACACGCAATCATAGATTGAGGCAAACTTCATTGATTTTGACATGGTGGAACGTGGTTTTGCACATTGTTGTAGTCCTTTTGTTAATAATGTAACCTCTACTGTAGCTTTCTCAAAGTTCAATATTATATAATAAGTTAACAACTTATTTGATTATTTGATTTGATACTAATCCTACAAATCTGTTACAAATGACATTGCAGCATCTGAACTTATATCAACACAGGCAATATGCAGGTACATATCATTTCATTTGTTTTGATAATTTATTTGAAATATATTTTTCAAAATAACATTGTTTTATGGTAGGCTAGTGACAGGTTTAATATCAATTCCCAACTTGAGCATCTGCAAGCTAAGTATGTGGGAACAGGGCATGCAGACATGAACAGATTGTGAGTGCCTTTTTTAATTGATATGACTTTTGTTGAAAATCATAAAATTGTTTATATATTTTTGTATTTTGGTTGAAGTGAATGGGCTGTTAATATCCAAAGAGACAGCTATGCATCATATGTTGGGCATTATCCAATGCTTGGATACTTTGCAATAGCAGAAAATGAGTCAATTGGAAGAGAACGCTACAATTTTATGCAGGTATGCTATTATTCTTCATATATTTTTTTTTCTTTGTTTTTTTTTATGGGCTAAATGAAAAAAAAAAGGACTTAATGGAGGAAATATCAATGGACTTTTGTTTATTGTGTATTATATCATCCTATTTTCATATCTTTCTATTACAACTTTGTGCTTTTACTATAAAAGTGTTGTACTTTGAAAGATATAATGGAGTAGATTTTTCAAAGTACAATGTTGTAATAAGGAGGTAGTAATTCCTTTTTTTTTTTTTTTTTCATTTTGCAGAAAATGTTGTTGCCTTGTGGTCTTCCACCAGAAAGAGAAGATGAATAAGGGCATCAAGTTGTTCATGGGATATTTATAGTTGATTATGAAAAACTTGTGTAGTATCAACTATCAACTTGATTTGATGTGAGGATAAAAAACTATGTTGAGTTTTTAATGTTTATGTCACATGTATTAGTGAATAGTGATGAGCATTAATCTTTGTTTTTTTGGTCATATTATGGGGTTGTTATGTTGGGAAGTGTCACTTGAGGTACTGCTTTGTTTTTAGACAGTATTAGATTGAGTCTATTTATAGGGAGTATGGGGCTAGTTGTTTTGTATGACTAAAAAAAGAAGATAACTTGTAACCCTTTAATGAAATGCAATGTTGCTTTTGTTCATCACTTATAGATCTAAGTCTTGTAAGCAAGCTTAATCTGGATTCAATATAATTTATATTATCAGTCTTTACATTTAATCTATACTCTTCTTTGCTATAATTATTATGTTCAAATATTCCACATAACTTTATTATTGTTGAGCAACTTGTAAGATTTTGCAAATCAAATATTCAACCAAAAGTTTTTCCTCAACAATTAGTATCCGAGCAATAGTGGTTGCTCTTTGTTTTCTAAAAACATCTTTTAGAAAAATCTTTATAAAAGAAGTCTTGTATAACACTTAGCTTATTTTTCGAAACAACAAATTATGGCACAAGTTTATTTGTTAAATGTACCCAACAATGTTGGTAGTTCAAATCGAGCTCCTGTACGTTTAGCATTTGAATATCATCATTGGTACAAAGAATGACAAGGTATCTAAAAAGACTTGGCAAATTTATTTGAAGATCTGTTGATGACTGACCACATGTCCTAACTTTCACTACTATCACCGATGAAACGACTGTAAGACTTGTGGAGGGGCCACCACGTCTAGACCTACAGCTAGTGATATCTCTAAGATGGAAAATGATGAGATGACTTTTCGTGAGATATCTTGTGGTGTTCCACCATATATTTATGATCTCATCATCAACTGTCAGTCTGTAAAAGAAATTTGAACGGTTTTTCAAAATATGTTTGGAGGCATAGAATAAACTCAAGACAAGAAGCTGACTAGACTCTAAATGAATTCAATGATTTTCAAGCTCTGCCTAGAGAAAGTCTAGCCGAACGTTCAGGAGATTCAATCTGATCATCACTAATCTTTCAAATGCAGGTACAGTAAGAACCAATCTTGAAACTAATATTCGTTTTTTAATGGTTTAAGAAAGCAATGGATAATGACAAAAATGATTATTCATTGACATGGCAAAATCAAAATTATATCTGTGTACAAGTTGTATGGTGAACTCCAAGCACAAGAATCTAAAGTGATTAGAGATTGTAGTGAACTTGGAGGACCTATAGCCTTGGTTGCTCAAACACCGCAATCTATCTATAAATCACCGCAGTCATCTAAAATCCAACTGACACACCGAAGTTTGAGAAAACTGAAAATTTTAGCATCATTGTCATTAGTGTTACAAGGAAAATCATTTTGCTAGAGACTACAAAGCAAAAGCTATCATGGACAAGATATTTAATCTCAGAACGGCTAAGGAGGTTGATGATAGGGAAAAAAGAAAATGTGATGAGGATGAGGAAATGGATAATAAGAAAAAGTGACGAAAATTATGTCGTTGTTAGGAAGGGAACCGCAAATGATGGAAAAGGACTACATCAGGTTTGGTCTTATGTCGTGTCGTGTTTTAATTTACTCGTTTTTGTGTTAATGAAAATAAACACGATATCATGTCGTGACACCTAAAAACTTGTCGTGTGATATCATGTATTGTCAAATAAAAACATGACATGATTGTCTGGACACCCCTAATATAAATTTATAATTTTTGAACTTATATTTTGAAATTCTTTTTAAATAAAAATGAAAAATGTTTTCCAATTAAATGATGTACAAGAATGCATTTATGGCACCAGCCAACTACTTCACATTCTCTCCCTCTTCCCTTCCCCATGGCCTCATCATCTCAATTCTCAATGTCACAATCTTGGCGTAAACCCTAAAACTTGAGAAACATCTATTGATGGCGGATGATGCAGCTCTGCGAAGATCTCTGATATGTTTAGCTGCAATCATGGCTGTAATAGGACTGTACACGCATTCCTTGAAGAAGGTGATGGTGACGTATCTGTTCGGAATGTTAGCGATCGGAGGCGTCGTTCTTCCTGATTGGGAGTTTTTCGATCGTCCTGTTTCTCAATGGAATTCTCCATTGTCTGTTCCTCAGTTGCCTCCTCTTCATCCCCCTCACTCGCCTCCAACTCCCTCCAGGTCCATTTCTATTCCTTCATCTCATTTTTCTCGCACTTTTCATGGATTTTTTTTCAAATACATAATTTTACTTGTGGTGTATGGTTTATGATTAGATAAATATGATATAAATTATCTACGTTAAATTGTTCTTACATTTGTACTAAATTAACCATTTATATTAATGTGTTTTATTAAAATTGTATAAAAACAATGTAGCCGATTAGAATATATATATATTAATGCATCTTGTTATATTTGTGTATTTTTTTTGTTTTATTTTGGCAGGTTTAGGTTCTACCCTATAAGAACAATAATTTACGCAATGGTATATGGGTATGCTTTCTATAAATGGTGGATGTACATATCAACCTAAGTTATATATAGTTGACTTGAAACTACCTACCGCATATATATTCCTATTTTAAAACTTGTCTAATAAAATTTAGATAATACATTTATTAAATTGATATTATTCTATGTTTTTATTGGGTTTGATCCTTGTCAAAAAGCTTTTGAATGAAACTGTTATCTGAATTTTATTTTGTGTCACACTCGAGTATCTATAATCATTTTTAATTATCATATGTTTGTATTCATTCAAGTTGCTACATCTTGTCGATTTAATTATCATATTTTATCTGAATTTTATTTTGTGTCACCTTCCATTCATCATTCTTAAAAAAAACTCCACAACACCCTTATCCTCGCATTTACTTCCTTTCATCTCTTTAAAAAAACTCAAGAACACAGATTTCCTTCAATTTCCTCCAATTTCTTTCATCAAAAAGACTCAAGAACCGGGTTTAAAGAGTTGTTTGATAGTTGTTACTTGAGTAATCTGATTGAGTAAAGTCATACTCAACCTTTTATGAGACCAAATAACAAGTTTGATAGTTACCGACCGAATCAGACTCAACATGTTATCAGACCTAGTAAGAGGCATATCAGAAGCTATATGACTGAATTTGAGGCTTCTAATTATGATATCAAACGGTGTGAAGTGTGAATCTGATTACCCTCTTATCCGACCCAGTAAAAGGTATATCAAACAACCTCAAATGGTTTAGTTTTATCTAACAACCACATAGTCATAAAACCTTTTAACCTTGCTATAACATGTTATAATGGTAACATTAAAAAAAAGAATTGAAGTTTATATTCTATTGAACACAACTAGAGCAAATACAAAAATGTGAAATAGTGTCATTAACCTTAACCCAAACATGTTCTTCACTTCAGACCACGGTTTGATTCTTGTTTTTTCGTGGGGTGGTGTCATATGGAGGAAGAGGCACACCAAACACCCAATCAAGCACATTCAAGTACTTTGAGCGAAAAACATCTCTTTCAATCGCATAACAATGCATTATGATTGATGTTGATAAGCTAAAAATCAACACATCAACTCTTTTTAAATTCTTTAAATGTGGCATGTATCCGATTTCAGACATTGTTGTGAAAAAGCTCTCAATGGCTCGTGCTAGACAGTAGAGTGAGATTTCTATTCTTCTGCTCTTCTTCTCAATTGCCAATCCTAAACCCGTTGGGAACTGTCCATTCTCCAATAACAAAATCTTTACTTTTTACATGAAATACATAATTGTAATTACGTTCCATTTTAGAACCAAATGATGCAACATTTTATTAAGGTTTGTATAAAATGGTATAAATATCAAACATTGTTGTCAAAATTGGTGAAAAAAGATTGTTCCATAAATTGGTAAAGATGTGAAACATTATTGCATAAATTGGTAAAAATGTGAAATATTGTGGAGAAAAAAATGGTAAAAAAATGAAACATTGTTGGATAAATTAGTAAAAATTCAACCGGTGTTAGAATCATACCGTGCCCAATGCCAACATGGCAACATTACATCTCTTGAAAAGTCTGAAGAGGAAGCATGTCCAAACCCTAATAAAAATCAATCAAATTAATTAATTATTAATCAGAACAAAAAAAAAAAACAAAACAAAACTGTTACTGTGACTGATGTGAAGCTCACCAGGCTGAAGTACAGTATGTGGAGAGAAACAGGCTGGATCTTGCAGTACCAAAAAGACCTTTAGCCAATATTGTGAAAGGCCTGCATAAGTTTAAATGAAAAAAATAATAAATTAAGAACATGGGAATTAAAATATAATAATAATATATACATATAAGATATAACATACCGATTTGCAAGTCCTTGACGATGTACTATAAGTGCAGGAATCAAATAAACTGGAAGATAAACAGGTATTGCTCTTTTATATGCTTGAATAAAGAACGAAATTGCATGCCAACTACACGATTGATTTTCATGTATAATCTGAAAAAATATTAAAATGAGCAAATTCAGATAAAAAAAAATTAAAAATTAAAAATTAAAAGTGATACATACCGAACAAGGAACTTTCATTTGAGGGTCGAGCACTACATCAACACCTGTGCTCTTGTAGTACTTCTGTATTTGATCAAGATTAGTAAAAGGCATACCACAAGCAATATCTCTAATACCCTGAAGGATAATTGGGTCTTTTCCACCATGTTTATTGAGAAAAGATTTGTATGATTGAGGTAAACTGTCTTGCTTTAAGATGTATGCACACCTGAGGAATTAGGAAAGGAAACCCAGGATCATTCATTGCCCTTGCCCCTTATTTGAGAAAAGAAAAAATAGTGAAATTTTGAAGAAGATGCATACAGAATTTGGGTAGATGAGAGACACATTAGGAAAAGGTCTCCGTGGGCCCACGTGAGAGGTTTACAAATTCGCCCAAATCTTTTGCTTTTTATTCCACAACGTGAAGCAAGAACAGCTGCACGCATGAGAATATAAACAGCTAAACTTGTGTGTTGTGTGTTGAATCCTGTAAGGAGCATTGAAGGTCCAGCTATTGCTCCTGCTAATAAAGCCCTCCATCTTGCTGTTCTGAAGCATTATTATTGAAGAAAATTAGAAATGAAAAATGAAATTTAAGTATATGAGAAATAGAGAAAGGGGAAAATGGAAATGCCTTCGGTGTCCTCCTAAAGCAGCTATAAGTTCATCAACAGACACAAATGTCCCAGCAAAAGTGCCAAGGAAGAGACCATATCTCAGTGTTTCTTTTACTGCTAAAATTAAATCTTCACCACCTGAAGCCATGTGCACCTTCCTGGATCAAAAACATCCAGCATGTAAAACTTGTATAAACAATCAAAATCCCCTAATCAATTTCGAAAAATATAACTAATACACAAGAAAAGGTTGTTAAAATACTGCTGTAGCTTTGATTAGACATATCATAAATCCTCAAAAATATTGAAGTTCAGATGTAGATGTTTGATCTACCAAGTCGTAGTATAGCTCTATTGTCATTGACTTATTCATAAATCATAATGGACTTTCCATATGATGATATGAACAGTAAATTGTCAAGCCAAAAATTACAAAAAAAATCATAATGAATATAATTCTATCAGTAGTATTCGTGATCGGATTCAAAACAATTTTGAGAGTTCATAGAAAAACTTGTATAAAATTTCAAGTTACAATTATTCCGATTGATAGCTTACATCTCGTTTCCCAAGGGTTGTACGTAAGTAGAAATTGAAGAGATCCAATGATATATACACCGATACAACTCAAAAGTGGAGTTCAAATCACTTACTTAGCAGAAGATAACGATCGTCGACGCCGCAATCGAGCAAGGATTGCGAAGAGCGATAAGCCGCCTTTAATACCAGCTCCAATGGCAAATCCTTTCACAGAGGCAGTGAAGATCCTCCACCGCTTATCATAATCTTCAACCGGAAACGAATCGAAGCTAAGCAAAGCATATGAAGACGAAGACGATGTAAGACCACTCTTCTTTGACTTTCGTTCGCATTGTTGACACTTTTTCCGTCCATCGCCGCCGTCTTCGCATAAACAACCGTCGCCGGCAACAGTAGAATCGTCGCCGGACGGCGACATGGTAAATTTTACGGGTACTGAAGCTGTTGACGTGTATTCACGCAGTAGGTGTGGGTTTCTGGGGATTATCGACACAGAGATTCACGTTTTTGGTGTAAACGAGTAACTATTCTTTTGGCTTCTTTGCTTCAGTTGTCACTCTGAGGGGAACTCCTTGACTGCATTTATTGTTTGTACAGTTTGGTACAACCAATGACCATATCATATTTTATTATTTTTCACTGTAATTTATAGAATTTTTTTTTTCAATATTTTAGCCCTAAACTCATTTTTTTCAATTTTATCGTTATATTTGCCTTTTATACCTTGTTCGAGTTGGTATGCCTTTTTATTTTTAAAACTTTTTTTTTTTTTGCTCTCTGTTTAATATTTTTTTAATCAAATAGTGTAATATACTGATATCAAGATAGTTAGTAGGAAAATATATGATGATTTTCCACTTTTAATATTTTTGTGATTACCTTTGGAATTAATATACAACTTTAAGTACATGAGATATAAAGTGATGATAACTGTTTTATTGGACCGCAAAGAGTTATAAATGGACCCGGTTTATCTATAGAAGTAAGTAGTTGGTGTGGTTCTTTCTATGATAAATTGATAATAGACATTCCTACAAATGGAAGCTTTAACAAAATATGTCGTTATCAAACCGAAAGCAATATATGTGTGTTTGATCAAAGTTGATAAGGTTATGGACCACAAAATATTATGTTGTTTACAAAAAAACTAATGATCATTATTCATATGTGACGATAAACCATGAAAACAATTTCAAAGGTGGTTAAGAGGGTTGCGTGGTGAAACAGTCAAAGTGTGTGAATGGTTTGCATATTTGATTGAAAGACATGTGTAGAAGTTGGAGATAATCAAACGCCATATACTCGTCAATCATTATCGAGGCTAGATGTTATGTTTAGGGCTTAGGAGCTAGTTTGGCCATGAGGTTTGGATATATTCAAACTTATGTAATAGGCATATCATCATTTCATAGTATCTAGAGCATGACCATACCAACAAAATTACGATCGTTGGAGCATGGCCTATGCCACAAAACCATGTTTGTAGAAGACAAAAGACAAACTTCATGCATATTATCCCCTCATCTTTGGATATAGCCTAAGGTGCTGTTTGTTTTTTGTAAAAAAACTCTTCAGACTTCTTATTGCTACGCGGCGCAGCACACGCGCTGTGACATCCCCAAAATCACGGCCAGAAAAGACCGGTTTCATTTATTCTTTTAAAATAATTTCAGAGTAAATCCTTTGATTAAAAGAGTTGCAGAATTTGTTCTCAAAACAAAATATGATAAGAATTTATCAAAGCATTTCATAAAGAAATGTATTTTTCATTATATAACAAAACCTCGGGATGTCATGTTCCGATACAGACCAAAAGCATAAACAATACAAAATAGATCTTACAACAGTTACATATAACTACTGGTCTATAATCCAAAAATATATTGACAATGTCATCCAACTTATGCTCTCGTGCCACTATCTGTAATACAAAGAAAAACTGAGTGGGTCAGGCTTGGGAGCCTAGTGAGCATATAGGGTTTTCAACCCACAATAAATAATTATATTTAGTTCATCAACCAACAATAACCCGATTACCCATTCCCGTTATCCTCACTTTATGTCCCTAAAACAACAACTATTACAAGGGACATAATCTAGGATTTTCATCGGGACGGACATTACTGCAAAGGGGTTTCCTTAACAATAGATGTCCTAAAGGCAACCATGAGGGGGATAGAGTACACCGGTGAACACATCGTTCACAACACCTACAGGTTATGAGCCTGCTAGCGTTCCACTGGACTGTCTAGAAAGAGTCTGTGGTCGTCATCCATACTCCGCTAGATGACTAGATCAACAACAACATCGAGGCCTCTCATCATTTTATTTCATCACACACCAACTGTCTACCCATGTTCTACCCAACATATTAGTAGATAAAATATATACATTTATATACAGCTTAAAACATGTACAAAACATCCATTCAACAACTAGTTCAAATAAACAAATAATATATAAACACATAACACGTATTTTATAAAGAATACTTCATATCTATGTGTTAGAAGAAAACGAATATACACTCACTTGATCAGAAGATGATCGGACAGCACTACGGCTCTAAGAGTAGTATTCTTCGGTGAAACCGGGATGCTTTCTTGAAAATCGGGCTTCTCGCGGGCAGAGCTTCGGCTCGGAAACTCTTTTCTTCTCGGGATCTTCGGGCTTCGGGACTCGGGATGATATTGGGGCTTCGGGGGTACTTCTTTGCACGTAAATCGAGGTAATATGGGTGAGAGGAAAGAAAATGAGCAACAAAACTCGGCTGCCCCTCCAAATCTATTTATAGGGTTGATTTCTGTAATCACGTCGTGAGTTTTAAGTGTTCACGTCGTGAACACAGTAGGTCACTGTGTTCGTCATTCGTCCACTTGCTCTGGAGGACGTCCAGTCTGTTCTCACGTCGTGAGCATTGTGCTCACCTCGGGAGTTCTGACACAGCCTCGAATATTGTGTTCCGAACTTCAGAAATTCATATCTCTCGCATACGAACTCCGTTTTCGACGTTCTTTATATGCACGCGTAGGTGAGATCATGCTCTATAACTCTCGATTAGACTCCGTTGGCTAATTTTGACTTTATTTTTATTATATTATTTTTAGTAGGCCGGGACAGGAAAACTCCGTTATAAATCCATAACTTCTTCATCCGACGTCCGTTTTCGTCTGTCTTTTTACCGTTGCACTACTATCGACGAGATCTTCGATTCTCGTTTAGATTGTTTCGGCTAGAAATCACTCGATCTCAAAATCGAACTTCGGACTGCATACTGCTAAACTGAAACTTAGAAAAATCATAACTTCCTCATACGAAGTCAGATTTAGACGCTCTTCTTATGAACGCTCTCGGTTTAACTTATTCTACGACTTTCATTTAGATCACTAAGGCTAGATATCGCTCTATCTTAAATTCATATTTTACGTCATTCAGCGTCGTGCCGGTTCTGTCGCGAAACTTCGACAGGTCATAACTTCTTCGTTATAACTCGGATTTCAGCATTCTATATATATTCGGAAACCTCGTCACGACCACTACCACATCCTTCATAGATATCAGGTTTATCTAACATTTCATTTTGACGCTTATTTTTATCCTTAATTCATTTAAGTCACACACTTAAGCACAAAACACATAATACTCAAATAATACATTTTTATTATTTCAAAATGAGTTACAAATGTTAACTTAGACTATTACATCATCATTAATGCCTAGCCTAAAAACACGGGCGTTACACGCGCAACACTTTTAATCTCGCAGCAGTTTGTTTTTTAGAAGTCTTCATAGTAAAAAACATTTGCACGTGTTTTGTTTGGCGCAACACTTGTATCACCTCTTCCAACCTCTTCTTCTTCTTATTTCTTGCTGAAATCTTGATTTTATGTTGCTAAAATCTTATTTTATCTTTTTTTTGTTTATTCTTGTTGAATTTTTTTTTCGTTTTTTTATATTGAATAATTATAATTTTTTGATGAAATATCATTATTTTTTGTTAAATATCTTTATTTTTTGTTGAAATATCATAAATTTTTGCTAAAATGTCATATATTATTAAATTTTCGGTATTAAAAACCTATTTTTCGTTTTATAAAATCAATTTATTTTAATTTTTTAATATATGCAACAGCATGCAGATGTTAAAAAAAACAAACACGCTTCTAGTTACAGTCTGCAGTCATTTTGCCCACCTCTTCTACTGCAAATGGTTGCAGAGGTGGTTCGCAGACTTCATGAATTTTTGCTTTAAAAAAACAAACAACACCTTAACATTCCATAAAGACAAACCTCATGCATATTTTGTATGTGATGACTGATTGTGGATGACCTCCACCTTCTTGTCTCCTACCGACGACTATAAATACTTATCCTTATGTCATGCATAAGGTACACAACAAGTTTTCCATACTCACTACTCTTAACCACACTAAAACCCTTACCGGCTTAGGCATTAGAGCATACTCCCAAAATACTCCTGTCAATTATTTTTAGGTGAAGTTCAGGTTTCACCATCTATACTCAAGATTGGTGATGCTAAGCAAGAATATCCAACCCCACAAATAATTCAATGTACCATAACTGATGCAATCTTTGGGGCCTTCAACACAATGGCCCAACAATTCACAACTTGGGGCAAAACAATCACATTGATAAAACCTCATCATTACGAGGAGTATGCCACCCCATTCCCCTAGCCATATATGAAGGTTGCATCAACTTGTTTTTTATAAGCTCAGACCTCATAAAACCTCATTAACCATTAATAATTTAAGGAATCATCGGTAATAGCCGAAGGGAACTAGGGATACATGTTTTTCTAATTAATACATATACAACGACTCCGGTCTACCTTTCGGGAAGGGATGAGTGATTTTGACCAAGGAATCTTGAGAGGGAAAAAAGTAGGTATGGGGAGAATAGGACGACGACATCAGGGACTTTTTGCCATTATGGAGAAAAACACATAAGAATAGAGATGTGAGGGAGGAAGATCGAGATAAGCGAGCATACCGTACGATTTTGTTTTTCCTTTCCCGTTTCCTTTTAAGAAGCATATCGTATGCACTAACTAAGATATAATGATTACATTTTAATAAATAATAAGTATGTGTAAAAATATGTAAGTAAATTAATTCAAGATACATAGTAATATTTAAGAAAAAGATAAGTCTGTTGTCTGTATCGATAAAATATAGAATATACCGAATATATATATATATATATATATATATATATATATATATATATATATATATATATATATATATATATTATATATATTACCAACATTGCTTTTTTTTTCTTGCATTTTTTCGATGTGTCCTTTAGAATATCATCATCACTAATTTTAAAGATTTTTTTTGAATGGCTAATCAATGGTTAGAAATTAATATCACCAGAGATCTTCAATTTAAGAAACAAAACGCACCAAACGGGCTAGTCTCATATTAAGCTAAGTGATTAACAACTAGACAAATCATAAATAAGGTAAGTAAAAAAGTTAACTAATCAATCTAATGTGTTCTGGGTAGTTATTAATCGGCTCTACCTTTCTCTTTTATTATGGAAGGGATATAAAATGGGAAAGAAACTTGGTAAAAACTATA